TCCAAGATGCATTCAAGGGTGGAGCAGCCTTAGACAAACTGTGTGTCATTGTGAGTAATGGGATGAACCCTCATGCCATCCTGCTCCATCCTGCCCAGGACAGCAGTCATCCTCTTGTCCAGAGTTTCCACACTGTATATGCTACATACCTGCTAGAAGCCATCTCACTCATCAGACCAACTGTCACATGGTTTCCAGTGCTTATAGTCAAGGATCCCTTATTTACTATTAGTGATCGCTGCTCATCTCTTACTGTGCTTAAATTTATAAATTATATATATATACATGTTATAAATTATATGGAAAGATCTGCCATGCTCATAGATTGGCAGAGTCAACATAGTAAAAATGGCTATACTACCAAAAGCAATCTACATGCTTAATGCAATTCCCATCAAAATCCCAATGACATTCATCACAGAGATTGAAAAATCGACCCTAAAGTTCATTTGGAAACACAAGAGACTGAGAATAGCCAAGGCAATACTCAGCAAAAAGAGCAATGCTGGAGGGATCACAATACACGACTTCAAACTATACTACAGAGCCATAGCAATAAAAACAGCATGGGACTGGCACAAAAACAGACATGAAGACCAGTGGAACAGAATAGAGGACCCGGATATGAAGCCACACAACTATAACCAACTTGTCTTTGACAAGGCACCAAAAACATAAGATGGAAAATAGACAGCCTCTACAACAAATATTGCTGGGAAAAGCGGTTATCCATCTGAGAAAAGTGAAACTAGATCCATGTTTGTCACCCGTACTAGTACCAACTCAAAATGGATCAAGGACCTAAATATCAGACCTGAAACTCTGAAGTTAGTACAGAAAAGAGCAGGAAACACTCTGGAAGCAATATGTATAGGCAAGGACTTCCTCAATAGAACCCCAGCAGCTCAGCAACTAAAAGAAAGGATGAACAAATGGGACTGCATAAAATAAAAAGCTTCTGTTCATCAAAAGAAATGGTCTCTAAACTGAAGAGACCACCCACAGAGTGGGAGAAAATATTTGCCAGCTACACATCAGACAAAGGACTGATAACCAGAATATACAAGGAGCTCAAAAAATTAAACTCTCCCAAAATCAATGAACCAATTCTATACAATATATAATGTAATATGTAATATTATAAATGATATAACATCTAATTTATGAATTAAACTTTATCGCAGAGATGCATATATATACAGGAGACACACACACTCTCACACACACTCACACACATTCCTACACATGGTCACAGATGCTGCTGGGTGTTACCTGTGGCTTCAGATGTCCCCGGGGCTCTGATCCCTGTCCCCAAGGAAAAGGTGTGACTGCTGCTTATACAAAGAGTAAGAATGGACTTTTCTGGAAGCCCTTAAATCTTAGCAAACTAACTCTCTCATCACAGGCCACCTGATTTTAATTAAAAATGCTAGCTAGCCATTTCATGCAGTCCACTTATTTGGGTAAGAGAATTAAAGCACACAACTTTCCTAGTTCCTAAACAGAGGAATTGGCGAGGATTTTTCTTACATAGGAAACATTTTTCTCTGAAATGCGTGCTTTACCTCAGTTCTTCAGATCTGTCTCTAAAATACAAAGCAAGGTCACATCAGGCCGGCACAGACCTGGTAAGTCACAGTTAGTCACGGTTGCGAGGACACCCAGGGACGGATCACACAGTGGGGCCCCCGATAAAGCAGCTCCATCCCAAACCAGAAAACAGATGTCCACAGCTGCGCTCTGGGGCTGGCGTGGCCTTCGTCCACCATATGGCAGGACTCATTAGCATTCTCTCAAGGGCTCACGGGAGAGCCAGGCCCTTGCAGCTATTCTGCAAGCCACACACACAACTCCCCACCACGACCTTGGTCCTGTCCCTTGCCTCTGGCTCCTGCCACCCAGTCTATACATCATGTTTTATCTGAGTCCCAAAACCTCACCTCTCTGGACACCATGTCTGGAATTGAACTGTCTTCCAGAGGAAAAAAGTGTCGTGCTGACAAAAGGGCCCCTTCTGGACCTTTAACCAAAACAGGATGCAACATCAGGAGGTTCACAGCTGGTTTGGGATGACCTAACGCAGCTGAGCATGCTGGTGTATTCCTGTAATCCCAGCTGCTTGGGAAGCAGATGCAGGAGGATTGCAAGTTTGCAGGCAGCTCGGGCAAAGTTAGCAAGACTCTATCTCAAAAATAAAATGGAAAAAAAAAAAAAGGACTGGGTCGTGGCTCAACTGGTAGAGCAAGCACAAAGACTGAGTTCAAAACCCAGTACTGCCAAAAAAAAAAAAGACGAAGGGAGGGAGAGGAAAGAGCTGTCTAATTGTCCCACCAGCCAGGCCTCCACCCCACAAGGTTATCACAGTCCTAAAACCACCATGGGAGCTCTGTGAAATGTGACTGAAAAGCCCTGATCAAGCTCAGATCACCACTCCTCTGGTGTAAAGCGACACTCGAACCCAGGTCCCTGGATGCAAAGTTGAGGGGCGGGTCTGCCTTACCGTCCATGTCCAGCCTCTGCATGATGATGGCGAGCTCCACCTCGCTCGGCATGTACCCCAGGGAGCGCATGGCCATGCCCAGCTCCTGCTTGGAGATGAAGCCGTTCCCATCTCGGTCCAGGACACGGAAGGCCTCTCGGATTTCTAGAAAGAAAGGCAGAAGAAGCTCACTGCATTGGCACGGTTGGCGAGTGACCACAGGTAACCGCTTCTCAGGCAGTGAGTGTTTAAAATGATTCGATTGGATCGAAGAAAGGCCGAAAGAAAAACAAGAGGGCCAGGTGCCAGTGGCTCACGCCTGTAATCCCGGCTACTCAGGAGGCAGAGATCAGGAGGTTTGTGGTTCAAAGCCAGCCTGGCAAACAGTTTGTTAAACCCTCTCTCAAAAAAATACCAAATATAAAAAAGAGCTGGCAGAGTAGCTCAAGTGGAAGAGCACCTGCCTGGCAAGCGTGAGGCCCTGAGTTCAAACCCCAGTGCCCCCAAAAAACAAAAGCAAAAGAAAAAGAGGAAGGAAAGAAAAAAAAAAGTGAGAGAAGGGAGGGGCAGGAGGGAAGGGAGAGGGAGGGAAAACAGAGGCCCATCCTAAAAAGAACATATAACAGGTGCAATAGCCTACGATCCCAGCAGAAAATGTGTCAGTCAAGAGACAGTTCTGAGCCAGATGAGAAGTGGGTTCCATCCGTGAGGAGAAAACGGTCTCGCCGGCCCCCGGGAGGGGAGAATGAGATTCCCCTTTGCAGGCAGATTTTAGGTTCCTGCTGCTGCAGGCACCGCTCAGAACACTCTTCCACTTCATAGAGGATGGGAGTTACGAATCCCGCTGGTTTTGTCTCATTCCTCTAATTCACAGTGTTTTACGCTGACACATCAGCCTCTGATCAATAAGTGTCATGACGCTCCAAAGACATCTTTAATCACTTTCTCTGGGTCTGGCAGAGAACCGGACTGTGCTGTCAGTGAGACCCAATGCACACGGCAGGTGATCTGCCAGCCTCTTCCCACAGCCTCCGTCCCTCCTCCAGAGTCCCCGACGGGGGCTGGGCATCTCCTGCCTGCTGCAAGACGCATCTTGGGGAATTTGAGGTCACGCCCTATCTGAGCACCCCAATAAACCCAGCACAAGCCTAGGTATGACAGTTGTCCAAAATCTACCATGCCACTCCACAGGCACGGACGGCTTACTATGGGAGAAGGACATTAAGTGCCACCAAGAAATGACAGTGATCCACTAGGCATTCCTGTTCTCTCCTCAGTGCCAAACCCCAGCCAGGTCAGTAAAATACACACAGAAGTTTGGTGTTCAAACTCATGTTAGACACTTGGCCTTAATCCATTTACTTACTAACTCTTTAACTATCTGAGGATGCTCCCAGCAAAGGACAGGCTGTTTGTATCCATGTCCTGTGGCCACTGTAACAAACGACCTAGTGGCTTACAGCAACAGAAATCTATTCCGTCACAGTTTGGATCAGAAGTCCAAAATCAGCATCGCTCTAGATCAAAATCAAGGTGGTGCTCCTCCTAGAGGCTGTAGGGAGAGATGCAGTCTTGGCCTCTTCCAGCTCCTGGCAGAGGTCACATTCCTTGGCTTGTGGCGGCATCACTCCAGCTCTGCCATCCCTCTTCTGTCTGCAGTCTCCCTCGGCCTCCCTCTTGTATGAACACTCGAGTTTGTATTTGGGGACTGCCAAGGTCATCATCAAGGATAATCTCTCCTTCTCAAGATCATTTATTCAATCACATTCTCAAAGACATCTTTCCAAGGTAATATTTACAAATTCAAGACATTAGGACTCAGTATCTTTTTTTTTTGTGGTACTAGGGTTTGAACTCAGGGACTCATGCTTGTTAGGTGGTCCACCACTTGCACTACTCCACTAAGCCTGTTTTTGTGATGGGTTTTTTTTGACATAGGGTCTGAAGAACTATTTTCCCGGGCTGGTCTCGAACCACGATCCTCCTGATCTCTGCCTCCTGAGTAGCTGGGATTACAGGCAGAGCCACAAGTGCCTGGGTGGACTTAATATATTTGAAAGCTACTTTTCAGATGACTGTGCTATCCCTTCCTCTTTGCTTGCCAAAGTCATGTCCATCCTTCAAGGCCATGTATTTCACAGAGATGTCTTTTCTCAGCATACCCAACTTCCCTTCCTTTCTACAGAGCATTCCGGTCACGTGACATGTGACATCTAGAAAAACGGTAAGTGCATAGAAACTGTGGCTCCTCCTCCAGCTGCATGTTCTTGACGATTTCCCTCACCTTGGCTTATTTCCCACCCACATGCTGAAGGAAGGTGCTAAGGAAGAGTCTGAATTGATCTGGACACAAAGCAGTACACATTTATTACCAATTGTCAGCATGAGTCCAGCCTCCTGAATGCTTTCTGGGAAGAAGTGTGGGCTCCAACAGGGAGAAGACCAGCCCTGGACTGGTGACCCAGGCTCCTCGCCAGGTGGAATAGCTAATTAGGGCCACAGCCAGACCACAGGCTCCAGTTCTCCCAAGTGTGAAATAAGCTACACTGGCTACAAAGACCCCCGGTCCTACCAGCCGTCCCTCTGTGCACCTGCAGACTTCGTCAGAAGCCTTTCCTGGAACGGGAAGTGTGCACTCTGCGTACCTTGTAAAGCTGCTCGGCCCCCTTCTCTGTCCTTCCACTGTTAGAATGAAAGCGAATTTTACTCCAGTCCAAACCAAAAAAATTTTGTCTGTGTTTTTGGCCTTTTCTCATCAACAAAACATGCCAGGAGTCCTGAATGCTGCCATATGTTTCTCCGACCTGGTCCCAGGTGTCCTTGAAAAAGCTTAAAGCCACTGCTCAGCTGAAGGTCACAGCAAATAACACTCAGGGGCACCATGGCCTCACACAATCTGGGACCCCCAGAGGCTGGAGACAGGAGGACACAGCAGCAGGGTGTCCTGAAGGACCACAAGGATGCTGCGTCCTGCTCTGTCCAGCAACCAAGGCCAGACATCCCCCAAGCCTCAATTTTCCCACCTGAAAAATTGGGTTAGGTTTGATCATCTTCTCGACTCTGTAGGAGGGTTTTAACTTGGGGCTGGGACAAACCTTGAAATAGGAGAAAATGTCAGATAGGGCCAGGGTCACTGAGTCGTGAGTGGTCAGTTGCATGGTGAGCCTTTGTCCCCTCCTTCCCTGGATCACGACTTCCCAAGACATCATCCATGTCCATCCCTTCCGATTCTATCCTGATCCCTCATCAGCAGACAGGGCGGATCCCTCTTGGTGGCAGAGCCTGGTTGTGTGCCTGTGGTCTCCCTGTACACCCCAGACCTCACCATGAACTTTGGCCTGTGTCCTTACCCTGGATGTCCCCAGAGGAACTTGATAGAGGACCACAGGTCAGTAGGTCAAAGCTGTCCTGTGTTGGCATGGAGTATCTGCACCTGGCTTCTAGGTAAAGCATGTCGGTGTGTGTGTGTGTGTGTGTGTGTGTGTGTGTGTGTGTCTGTCTGTCTGTCTGCATAAGTACTTACTAGCTTCATTTTCTTTCAAAATAGCAGAGAAGGGGCAGAAGCAAGGCCCCCAAACTAGAAATCCACAATGGAGAGTCTGCAGATGTCATTTCTTAGAGTAAAGGAAATCCCAGACAAACCGGAGGCTTATAGGAAGGAAATGGGTCCGGCAGTCTGGCAGAGAGACATGATGTGTGGCTGGCTTTATGTTTAATGGCAGAACAGGGGGTAAAACTACTCCCATACAACCAGACCCCTCTGCCCTGGGCTGGGGGAGGACAGCTGGCAACCCAAGTGGGCTTAGGTCACTTTTCCATCCTTGGACAGGGACCATAGATCCAGTCTCCAGAAACAGGCTGGTGAGAATGTGTGCTTTTCAGCCTGAAGTCCTTTGCTTCAGAGCCACGTGAGCCCATCACACTGGTGGTCTGTCACTCCGTGTCCCTTCTCAGTCACTGCAACACGCAACTCCTTTCTCAGGCATCAGATGAAGTTCAGACACTAGACAGAGTCAGTAACAGTTGGCGAACATTTGGGGGCTGGAAGAATCAGCTGAAATTTATGGCACTAATTTATAAGTCTGAGTCAGTAATGAAGAACAATTTGTCCTATCTGGATCCCCTGTTAGGTGCAAAATCCACATACTCTTCATAGAAGTGTGTCCTTAGGATGACGTGAGTTTTAAGTACATTAGGTCCAAGTGTGGCAATTCTGTCACCTCCAAGATGCCTTTGTGGGCCAAAGAAGGGGCATGTGCAACGGTGATGGGAGCCTGTGTGATTGTCATTGTGTAGTGACTGAGAGGAGACACAGTAAGATGCAGCTGCTGAGAGAGGGAATCCAGTCTCTGCCTAGGGAACTGTCCAGAATCCAAAGAGGCTGGGTGTGGTGGCTCACACCTGCAATCCCAGCTACTCAGGAGGCAGAGGAAGAAAGATCAGGGTGTGAAGCCAGCATGTGACTCTGTACCTGACAAAGGGCTGGGTGTATGGCTTAAGTGGCCGAGCATTTGCCTGAGCAAGGGACAGGCCCTGAGTTCAACACCCCAGTACTGCCAAACAACAAAGAAGTCAGCAATGAAGAAAAATGATTTTTGCAAGCTCGATGCCTGTTAGCTACAAAATCCACTTATTCTCCACAGAAGTATATTTCTAGGAAGAATTTTTTTTTTTTTTGTAATACTAAGGTTTGAACTCAGGGCCTCGCACTTGCCAGGCAGGTGCTGTACCACTGGAGCCACACCTCCAGCCCAATGCTGTGGGTTTTAATTGGTAATTAAGTGATGAGTCTGTTAACAAAAAAGATGAACTTTGCTGGTGCCTATCATTGAGAAATCTCAACACTGGGGAGAGATACACTCACTGAGTTAGACTTAGCCAAGAAATTATTAAAAACCAGCTCAAATGCCCAGGAAAGCATGAGGTACAAACCTGGAGGTCTTTATTCAGAGGAAATAATAGGGAGGGACTGATTAAACAATTAAAGAAATTTGGAAGAGTGTCCACCTTCTCTAAGAAAGGTAAAACATGAATATTTGGACATGATTAACACAAGCATTCATTCAACAAACAGTTGCTGTTTGCTTGTTACATGTCAGAGGCTGTGCTCTGATAGTTAGCAAAAGAAACTCCCAGCTTGAAAATCTACTACTCTAGAGAGAGAG